GCCCGGCCTCCTCCAAGTCTTAATCCACCGACCGATTTGGAGTCGCAGTCACCACGCCGAGGCAGGGCTGGCTGTGCCAGGAATGTCACCGCGGACTCCGCCGGGCGGGACGGCCCCCCACCAAGGACATCCCCACTAGCTGCACCCCCAGCCGTGCCTGAGGGCGCAGTGGCGGCAAAGCAGCCTGGCCTGGGGACCGGGTGTCCCGCTGCAAACCCAGGCAGCCAGTGTTCAGCGTTCGAGTCCCCCCCCCCATCCTCCGCCGGGGCTCAGAGCAGAGCGCGCGAAGGCTGCTCCAGGCCCTCCCCGGGGCCGCCGCCCACACGCCCAGCCGGGGCTTCCCTGCCCAGGGAGTGCGCAGAAAGCGGCATGGAGGGGGGGCCACAGCGGGGAGGGACTGGCGCCCGCCGATGGGATGGGATTCTGGGATTCTGCGCTCGGAGCTTCGTGCCCGCAGCGTCCCCTGGGAGTCGCTAGCCAGACAGAAAGAGCCGGAAGCCAGAAATCTCCAGTGCAAGCGTCTGGCCGTCCCTAGTCTCTTAACCAGCACCCTCCAAGGTCAGAGACAGGGACATTTCCGGCGCCACCCGATCCTGCCAGTGCCCCGCCTGAGCACTCTGCATGCTTCGGCGTGTGCCCCCCGCGAGACCCGGGCTGCAGGGCCGGCCTCTCACCAGAGCCACGTGGACGCTCTCGTCCTGCAGGTGCAGCACAAGCACGATGATCAGGTTGAGCACCTGGTGCCTCAGGGGGAAGACGAGGGCCCTCTTGTTGACCTTGGCCAAGAGGCGTCCATAGATCTCAAAGGCTATCAGGCGCAGGTGCTCTGACTCCTGGGGAGAGGACACACGCACACACGTGTGTGGGGAAGACACCTCCGCATCTGTGCGTCCACCCGGCCACCCAGGGGCAGAGTCCCCCGAGCGCTGCCCCCACCAAGCGCGTGCTCCCGTGTGCACGTCACCCCCCCCCCATAGACCTGCTGTGATTCTACCGCACCTGCCCCTCCCCCGGCTGCCGCCTGTGCACACGCGACCGTCATGCAGGTGGCAGCAGCCCCCAGACCCCTGCGGAGCGGCGCCGCCTTCGAGGTGGCAGGGCCCTCTGAGACCGTGCTGCCCGGCTCCCTTGCTCTGCAGACACCCGGGGAAAGGGCAGGACACCCCCGAGGGGGCCGCACCTCCTCGAAGAAGGGCACCAGCGTGAAGGTGAGCTGCAGCAGGAAGGAAGAGGAGTGATTCCAGGTGAGGTGGTCCAGGAGGCCCCTCAGCATCAGCAGGGTCTCCAGCACGATGTCGCTGTTCGAGGAGTAGCAGCAGTTGAGCACGTGGGGCTGGAGCACGCGGAGGTGCCTCACCTGCAGGGCGACAGGGACGGGGAGCTGGGGAGGCGGCACCCGCTACGGCAGGGGCTCTCGTCTGCGTTCCACCCGGCCCCAGAGACCGGAGCCGGCGGTCACACGCTCTCCTGCTCTTTCTTCCCGGAGCTGGGGCTGGCCCGGCCAATGGGGGCAGTCCGGGCGAGCTGCCCCGCAGGGCATCTTGGGGAGGTGACTTCTGTCCAGCAGGGGCAAAGGGGAGGGACAGAGGAGGCCCCTCCTTCCCCTCCTTGTGAGTCCCCATCGCCACTGCCTTTCTCATCCCCGATGATGCCACCCATCTCCAGGAGACCCGGATGGAAAGTCCGGGATCCGGGGCTGGCGTGGCCCGTTCTCCGAAATGGTCCCCTCCCGGCGGGGGGGACAGGGGGCTCTCCTGGGAGGGACAAGTCCCTCGTGCTTCACGCCCTGCCACCCGTCTGCAGTGGGCTGGCCTCAGGAGGGGCAGCCCGGTCTGATCCCAAGCCCCTGTCTGGGACTGCACACGCTGGCCCCAAGTCTCTGTGTCCCTTCCCCGAGTGACAACAGCTCCCGAGAGGGTGCCTGTGGCCCACGGCCCACGTCACCATGTGTTCACTCTTCGCGTAGGTCTCCGTGAGCTGCAGCAGCAGCTTCACCGTGGCTAGCTCCTCGGTCCCGAACCAGCCGGCCAGGATGCGGGTGGAGACGTCGTCGACCTCGGCCGCCACGTCTGGGCACTGGAGCAGCTGGAGAAAGGAGGCCGGGCCTCGGTGGGCATGCAGGAACCCCGTGGCTTTGGGCCTCGGTTCCTACTCATTGGTAAAGGAACATTCTAGGTAGAGCCTGGTGGCTCACGCCTGTAACCCTAGCACTCCGGGAGGCTGAGGCGGGAGGATCATTTGAGCTCAGGAGTTCGAGACCAGCCTGAGCAAGATCGAGGCCCCGTCTCTACTATAAATAGAAAGAAATTAATGGGCCAACTAAAAACATGTAGAAAAAAAAGGCCAGGTGCAGTGGCTCACGCCTGTAATCCTAGCTCTCTGGGAGGCCAAGGCGGGCAGATTGCTCAAGGTCAGGAGTTCGAGACCAGCCTGAGCAAGAGCGAGACCCCATCTCTACTATAAATAGAAAGAAATTAATTGGCCAACTAATATATAGAAAAAAAAAATTAGCCGGGCATGGTGGCGCATGTCTGTAGTCCCAGCTACTCGGGAGGCTGAGGCAGGAGGATCGCCTGAGCCCAGGAGTTGGAGGTTGCTGTGAGCTAGGCTGACGCCACGGCACTCTAGCCCAGGCAACAGAGAGAGACTCTGTCTCAAAAAAAGAAAAGAAGACAGGGGAATGCGTGTGTCTGAGTTCAAAGGGGAGACCTGGCCCCGCCCGCCCTCCCCCTCCAGGCCGGTCACCTCCGTCAGCAGCACGAGGGCAGTCATGTGATTCCTGCAGTCGGGGTCCTGCAGGATCCTGACGATGAGGCCGAAGATGGGGCGGTTGTGCCAGCAGTCGTTGTCCACCAGGGACCTGGGGACGAGAGCACGGCGCTCAGGGCGAGCTCGCCCGGGCCGCAGGGGAGGGCCGAGAGGAGGGGAGGGCCTGCAGCGGGGCCCAGGCCGAGCTCACCTGGCCACCACAGCGACGCCATCGTAGTGCCTCTCGGGACTGGTGAGCAGCCCCCAGCCCCCAAGCTCCTCGATGGAAGACACGAGGTTCTCGTACCCGGAGCTGCGTACCAGGGTCTTCAGGGCTTCCACGGTGGAACTAGGGCAGGGCGGGGAGCAGAGCGGAGTCACCGGCGCCTGCCCTGCTCTCCCTCGCGGGCCACCCGAGACTACCTGAGCCTCCCTTAGCACCAGGAACTGCTGGCGGTGGGACAGCCCTGGCGAGGGACCCGGGCTGACATTTCACAAAGCCACGAGAGATTGGGCTCCCCCAAGGGGACGCGGGAAGTGGCAGAGGGTAGGCGTGCAGTCCCGGCTGCGGGTCCAGCTGTGCTGTGGTGGCAGCGTCTGCCGTGCCTGCTCGCCGCCGTACCGAAGCTCCCGGCAGCCTGGCGAGCCAGACTCACGGAGAGGCTTTTCCGAAGAGTCCGGGGAGACGTCTTGTAGTGATGTGGGGGCCACACTAGGTGCCCCCACGACAGGGGGTGGCGTGTTCGGGCCCAGCAGGCGAGGACCAAGTCGGGCCAGGGTGCTAAACTGACGGCCCGGAGCACAGTCACTAGCAAATGGGGGTCTCGGGGCCAAAGGTACCTTATAGGGTCCGCCCACTCGGCCACGTGATGCAGTTCCTGCAGGGTTTCGGCAGCCCCTCCCATCACAAGGAAGGAGACCTGGAACAGCAGGGCCAAGAACAGCGAGGAGAAGAAGGTCTGCACCTCGATCCGGCGGCTCGGTTCCTGCAGGAGCTCGTAGATGGCCCTGGTGGCCTGGGGTGAGTAGGAGAGCGAGGGCATCACCATCTTGACCTTTGACCCCTAGGACCTGTCACCAGGAAGCCTCCCCATGGCCCATCACCCTGCCAGCCTTGCCCAGGAGAAACTACACTGCCAGAGCAAGTGGCGATGAAATGAGCGTGAGCAGGAAAAATAAACGGCAATTTCTAGAATATCATTGTATTTTGTTTTTTGTTTTTTTTTTTTTTGGAAACAGAGTCTTACTCTGTTGCCCAGGCTAGAGTGCCGTGGCATCAGCCTGGCTCACAGCAACCTCCAACTCCTGTGCTCAAGCCATCCTCCTGCCTCAGCCTCCCCTGTAGCTGGGACTACAGGCATGTACCACCATGCCCAGCTAATCTTTTTTTCTATATATTTTTAGTTGGCCAATTAATTTCTTTTTATTTTTAGTAGAGATGGAGGTCTTGCTCTTGCTCAGGCTGGTCCTGAACTCCTGACCTTGATCGATCCTCCCGCCTTGGCCTCCCAGAGTGCAAGGATTACAGGCGTGAGCCACCATGCCAGGCCCATAGAACGTCATTGTTTTAAAGTGCTCTCAGAACCATGGTGGCTGTTGTATTCTCTCGTCACCCTTGAGAGTTAAGGAGAACTGGGGAATCCAGCTCTGTCTCCTTGACAAGGCCACGTCAGCTGGGAAACCTTCCCTCCAGTTCCATTCAATATTCCAGCCCACCCCCAAGACTCTGCCACTAGAATATTCGACCAAACACTGACACCTAAAAGGTCCAAAGACCCCAAGATAGGTTAGGAGAGGGCATCAAGGGGTCCCCTTCTCCACCCGCAGCCCCCTCCATGGGCCCCTCCATACGATCAGCGGGGAGATGGTGGGTCTGCGGCCGGGATCGTGGGCCTGCACTTGCTGGTACGGAGTCAGCCTCTGCAGCAGGTACTCCATGATCATTTCGTAGCCTTTAGGGAAGGATGCCAGGATCTCCCAGGGGTTGTGGACCCCTCTGCAAAGCAGAAACCCGCCGACAAGGTTACCCGCCGTGGGCAACCCACTCCTCAGCAGGTTCCACTGTGCCTCCGGGGGAGGAAGCTCCGGGCTCCTCTGCCGAGTCCTCTTGCTCCCCTGCTTTCTTCCTTCTCCCTTGTCTCTCTCTTTACCATCCCCTCTCTTCTTCTCCTTCTATTCCTTTCATCTTTTTATCACCTCCAGATTTGCCTGTTCTCTGTCATTTCACATACACATACCGTGTTTCCCCCAAAATAAGGCAGGGTCTTACATTTATTTTTCCCTAAGAAGACACCCTAGGGCTTATTTTCAGGGGATGTATTATTATTTTTTTTTAAGTACGGTACAATAATCTACATTTATTCAAATACAGTGAAGTCGTCTTCTTCTGGAACATCATCATCACTCTCCAAACCCCGAATTCCATCCTGAATTTCTTGCAACTCTATTTCCTTTAGAACCGCTGGCCCCAGTCTCTCATGTGGAGCCATAGAGCTCTCATGGGGCAGATGAGAAGGGCTGCTCATTTTCTTTCCCACTCTGAGACAAAATGCACGGGTTGTGCAGACGTGCTGTGTAGCCACGCCCGTCACTAGGGCTTATTTTCAGGGTAGGGTTTCTATTGGGCAAATGCTTAGAAATCCTGCTAGGGCTAATTTTATGGGTAGCTTTTATTTTCGGGGAAACACGGTAAATCTGGAAATGTTCACTTGGCCTATGAACTTGATTTGAGAAAATATCCAAGGCCAATGCTTTTGGGCCATAATAAATGTAAACTACAAATTGGTAACAGTGAAGATATCTGGAAAATCCACAACTGTTTGGAAATCATAACAACATCTCTAAATAATGCATGAGTCAGCCTACATACCATATGATTCCTTTATTCTGAAAAAAGCAAACTACAGGGAGAGAAGACAGATCAGTGGTTACCAGGGGGCAGGAGTCGGGGGAAGCGTTGATTGCAGAAGGCAGTGCAGGGGGATTTTGAGAGGTGATGGAAACGCTTTGTACCTTGATAGTGGTCGTGCCGATTGTGGCCATGCATTTGGGAAAATTTTTAGAACTGTATAGCAGAAGGGTGAATTTTACTGCACATAGATTTTAAATTTTTTTAAGTGTTAAAAAAGGAAATTATATTGCAGTACATTCATACAATAAAATATCAAGAAGCCATTAAAATTATGCTTTACAGACGGGGGTTTTTTTGTTTGTTGGTTTTTTTTGTTGTTTTTTTTTTTTGAAACAGAGTCTCACTCTGTTTCCCAGGCTAGAGTGCCATGACATCAACCTAGCTCACAGCAACCTCAAACTCCTGGGCTCAAGCGATCCTCCTGCCTCAGCCTCCCCTGTAGCTGGGACTACAGGCATGCGCCACCATGCCCAGCTAATCTTTTTTTCTATATATTTTTAGTTGGCCAATTAATTTCTTTTTATTTTTAGTAGAGATGGAGGTCCTGCTCTTGCTCAGGCTGGTTTCAAACTCCTGACCTTGAGCGATCCGCCTACCTCAGCCTCCCAGAGTGCTAGGATTACAGGCGTGAGCCACCGCGCCCGGCCTAAATTTTTTTCAAGTGTTAAAAAAGGAAATTATATTGTAGTACATCCATATAATATAATATCAGGAAGCCATTTGTGTGGGATGTAATTTTTTTTTTAAATTTCACATGCTTTCCAACTTTTCTGGAATAAACCATACTACTCTCAACAATTGTTGTACCCCAAATAAATAAGGAACTATATATATATTTAAAAAAAAAAACACTGAATACATGTTAAGAATAACCAAACTGAAAAAACTGTCGGAGCCTAGCTCATCTCCCCGGCCACCTACTTTTGGGACTGATCTTCTATCTTGAACAGCGTCAGGATGACTTCGTCTGTGTAGGACTGGGCCAGCAGGTACAGGATCTTCTTAACGGTCATCTGGGCCGTGGGCTCGGTGATGCTGTTTATGTGGCAGTGAATGTACTGGATGATTTCCGGCACCTGCAATGAGGGCAAGGAGGTGCTCTCTGGATGCTCAACACCTGTTCACCAAGACTCACGTGACCGGGTACCCGTGTGACTCAGAGGGCTGCACACGACACCGACACAGAGTGTCCAGACCAGAGAGGTCACCGTCCGGCGCGCTCTGCCCCGCCCGGGCCGCCCCCCTGGGACTGTGCACTGCCCCGGCCCTCGTACTGTGAGGGAGGGACAAAACAGAGAGCAGCCAGGGAAGGGAGCTCAGAACCGTGTGTGGAAACCACGTCACCAAGGAGGAAGGAAGAGCCTGAGGATGAGGAACTTGGAGCGAGGAAGACAAGGGGACTGCTACCTCCAAACCTCCAAAGACCATCACGGCGGGAGGGACGGGCCGCCCTCGCTGGTTACTGGCCCTATGGGCCCCTGGTGGGCAGCTGGGACCGGAGTCACACCGGCTGCTGCGTGTGACTTCCACCCCGTGCTTACTGGCCTGGGGCAAGTTTTTCATCCTCTCCCGACTTTAGTTCCTCAAATAGGGAATAAGGAGAACAGTTCTCCCCGCGTGCACGGTTCTGAGTCAGCACATCCCGACAGGTTGGGACGGTGCCTGTCACATAGTAAGCACTCAATAAGCTTCAGTTAATAAGGTTCGTAGCCCCTTTGAGCCTTTTCCCATTTCTGAAGGAAAACAATCACCTCCTCACAGACCTGGTGTAAGAATTCCATAAAATAACACGTAAGAGGAGCTAACAGCGCACAGCACCTCGCGTCAGAGAAACCTGAATGTTAGCGGAATTCCGCGCAGCCCCGGAAGGCAAACTCGGGCCAGGGACGGGAAACTATGTGGACACAGATTTCAGCTCAGTTTAAGGTAGAACTTTCAGACACAGAAAGTGGTTCCCCTTTGTACGCTGTTGGCGGGAATGTAAATTAGTACAACCATCGTGGGAAAACCTCATGATGGAGGATTGAAAATAGAGCCATCTGGCCGGGCGCGGTGGCTCACACCTGTAATCCTAGCACCCTGGGAGGCCGAGGCGGGAGGATCACTAAGGGTCAGGAGTTTGAAACCAGCCTGAGCAAGAGTGAGACCCCGTCTCTACTAAAATTAGAAAGAAATTAATCGGCCAACTAAAAATACATATAGAAAAAATCAGCCGGGCATGGTGGCGCATGTCTGTAGTCCCAGCTACTCGGGAGGCTGAGGCAGGAGGATCGCTTGAGCCCAGGAGTCTGAGGTTGCTGTGAGCTAGGCTGATGCCATGGCACTCACTCTAGCCTGGGCAACAGAGCAAGACTCTGTCCCAGAAAAAAAAAGAAAGAAAGGAGGTGGCACCTGCAACTCTAACACGACACACACGGGCTGGAAGCGGGAGGGATGACAGAGGTCACGCCTGGCCCTGGGAGCCCATAGCCGTCTCCTCCTGCTCTAGCTTTGACTCAATTCTTTCTTCCCTTCCTGGCAGAGGTGACGGCCCGGTGGTCACTCCTCCCCACCGTCACAGGCAGCTCCTTTGTTAGCCCCTTCTCGTCTGGGCAGAAGGATGGGGAGTCCTTACGCTCAGGGTTGGGAGTCCTTATGCTCAGGGCTGGGAGTCCCTACGCCCAGGACGGGGAGTCCTTACGCTCAGGGCTGGGAGTCCCCACGCCCAGGACAGGGAGTCCCCACGCCCAGGACGGGAAGTCCCTACGCTCTGGCCAGGGGGAAATAGAACAAGACCCAGAACAGAACAGAAAGGAGAGTCCTTCAATTGACCTTGAGCCATCAGGCGCCCCAGAGCCGCTACCTTCCCAATCTCCGGAATGGTGTACTTGAGGACCATCTTCAACATCTTGGAAGCCGCGCTGATGTCGTGACTGCCGGCGCTGCTCATGGCCTCCATGGCCACCATGATCAGGTCTGCTCGCTCGTTGGGGGTCAGGTACTTCTTGAAGAACTGAAGGAAGAAGAACGACCGCTGTCCCCACCAAGCCAGCATCCCACGCTGGGACAGCCCCAAAACCTCCAGCCTCCGGGGAGGCCGGTTGATCCAGGTGGGAGGCAGCCCCTGGCCAGCACCTGGCTCTTCTACAGCGTGGGGCCAAGTTTCAGAGTGGCACGAGCCCTGAAGTCCCCGGGAAGAAACAATGGCCCAGACAGCACGACACAGGGGACAATGAGGAGGGTAGCGCAGCGTGAGCAATGCCAGCGAGGACCACGGCCAGGGCGCCCAAGCAGGACTTGACAGATCAGAGGAGGCTTAGCGGAGTCCATACCCGAAGAGAAAGGGGGAAGAGTTCCAGGCAGAGGGAACAGAATATGCGAAGGCCTGGGGTGGGGAGCTCGGTCTGGCTGCTGTGTCCTGCAAGGGGGCCCTTGGCTGGGTGGCAAAGGGAGGCTGGGAGGAGATGAGGCAGGACAGTCACAGCAGGGGCTGGATCGTTGAAGGGTCTCCTGGGTCATGTGAAGGACAATGGGGCGTCAGGGCCAGGTCTGAAGGGGAACAATATGATGAGATTCGTATTTTAGAGATAGTTCCCCGACTGCAGTGTAGGGAATGGGATGGCTGGAAACAGGAGACCAGTAAGAGGCTGCTGCAGGCCGGTCGCGGTGGCTCACACCTGTAATCCCAGCACTCTGGGAGGCCGAGGCGGGCAGATCGTTTGAGCTCAGGAGTTCAAGACCAGCCTGAGCAAGACCAAGACCCCGTCTCTACTAAAAATAGAAAGAAATTAATTGGCCAACTAAAAATTTATACAAAAAATCAGCCGGGCATGGTGGCACATGCCTGTAGTCCAGCTACTTGGGAGGCTGAGGCAGGAGGATCACTTGAGCCCAGGAGCTGGAGGTTGATGTAAGATAGGGTGATGCTGCGGCACTCTAGCCTGGGCAACAGAGCGAGACTCTGTCCCCCCCCCCAAAAAAAGAGGCTGCTGCAGTGACCCAGGCGAGGGATGAGGGGACCAGATCACAGCAGCCAGAGGGGACGGGCTTGAGAGCTGTGCAGGGGCAGGTGTTGAACAGGATGTGCAGAGGGAGGGAGAGGAAGGAGCGGGGCTGACGCCTGGGCCTCCCGCTGGAGTGACTTCAGTGGACCCAGCCTGGGGACACCATACCTAAGACAACCAATCCACCTCCGCTGCACAAGTAAAATTAAAGGTAGCCACAAATGAAAGCATGTGGGCACTATTTGTAGGTGGAGAATAGGGTTGACTACACTTCTTTTAAAAAAAAACTGTCTCGGCTGGGCGAGGTGGCTCACGCCTGTAATCCTAGCACTCTGGGAGGCTGAAGCGGGAGGATTGCTTGAGGTCAGGAGTTCAAAACCAGCCTGAGCAAGAGCAAGACCCCCTGTCTACTATAAATAGAAAGAAATTAATTGGCCAACTAATATATATGTACAGAAAGAGAGAGAGAAAATTAGCCGGACATGGTGGCGCATGCCTGTGGTCCCAGCTACTCGGGAGGCTGAGGCAGGAAGATCGCTTGAGCCCAGGAGTTGGAGGTTGCTGTGAGCTAGGCTGACGCCACGGCACTCACTCTAGCCTGGACAACAAAATGAGACTCTGTCTCTAAATAAATAAAATAAAGTAAAATAAAATAAAATAAAATATAAAAAAAAAAACTATCTCGGTGACCTCAAACCTCAATCCACTCAACTGTAGCTAGGAACTGGGCCTCACCCCTCATGAGACCTTGGACTTTGGAGACACTCCCCTGGGTGGGGAGTTTATTCCTCTGTGGCCCCACCCAGGCCCTCACAATGCCCCCCTGGCCCTCCTCCTCCCGGCGGGCCGGGCCGTGGTTACCAGCGTGACGTCCTGCATGCTAGCGAACCATTCCCCACGGAAATGCTTCTGCAGCTCCTTGAGGACGGCCTCCGTCTTCTGTTTGGTGCCTCCGATCCAAGAACAACAATTAGTGGGCAGGGCCTTGGCAGGGAGAGGGAACACGCCCTTCCTCTGTCCCCTCCAATCCTCAGGGAAGGTGAACAGAGTCAAAGGGATGGAATAACATTCGCCCAACAGAACCGGACGGACGGGGAGAGTTCTCCAGGGCCAGGCCCGCGGGTGGAGGGAGGACGAGGCTGGGGACGCCGTCTGGTCCACTCGCCGGGCTGCCCTGCCCCTGGGCCGTGGCGGAACGAAGACTGTTCCCACGCTCGGGTGCTGAGCAAGTGCCCTTCCAGCAAGCGCGCCCCTGTCAACTCATGAGGAACCAGGGTGTCTGGAAGTCCTTTGGGGACATTTGCAGATTCTCCCAGCCCCTCGCTACGTGCACGTGGCTGTCTGTATCTTTGGGTTTCCTGAGGTACAGAGAGGCTATGTCCGGGACTCCTGAGCTTGCTCCCTGAGAAAGGACGCTCGTTTTCCCAGTCTCATGCCTAGCGGTTGGGATGGAACAGCTGGGAAATAGCGAGTGTGCAAGCTGATGCCATGGGAGGCCGCAAGCCTAGCGCCCTTTTCCCAGGGATGGCTTAGGATCTCTTAAGAGAGGGCATTGCTGGCTGGGCACGGTGGCTCACGCTTGTAATCCTAGCACTCTAGGAGGCCGAGGCGGGCGGATTGCTCAAGGTCAGGAGTTCAAAACCAGCCTGAGCAAGAGCGAGACCCTGTCTCTACTATAAATAGAAAGAAATTAATTGCCCAACTAATATATATATAGAAAAAATTAGCCAGGCATGGTGGTGCATGCCTGTGGACTCAGCTACTCAGGAGGCTGAGGCAGGAGGATTGCTCGAGCCCAGGAGTTGGAGGTTGCTGTGAGCTAAGCTGATGCCATGGCACTCACTCTAGCCCGGGCAATAGAGTGAGACTCTGTGTCAAAAAAAAAGAAAAAAAAAAGGAGAGAGAGGCCACAGCATCACAGCAGTGGGCTGGAGTCCTGGACCTGCTGGTGGCTGGGGCATCAGATACCACGCGTACTCCAGGGCCTCGTGTGCACCTGACTCGACGCAGGGCCTCAGTGAACGGTGCTCATTGCTCTCGTTACTCAGGGGGTCCCCACAGCCCAGCCCGCGGCGCCCGCGCTCCTGCTGCTTACTTCTCTGGAGCACGAGGACTTTGAACAAGTAATGCAGAGCCTCCGACGCCCCCACGCTGATCTCGTGGTTGGAGTTCATGCAGAAGAGGCCAAAGATACCCATCAGCCTCCCGCTCATCGAGAATTCCGCCATGTGCTGCCAGGAGGAGGGAACTGGTCACCTCTCCGCCGTCCCTCTCCCACCTGCCCGAGTGTCCCGTCACAGGGCATCCGCCTGTCTGCGTCCCCTCACCCCACCAGCTCCACGCTCTGTCCCGGCCGAGAGAAGCCCTCCGCATCGGCACCCAGGGACACGGGGCCGCCAGATCCCCGAAACACGCAAGCCAGCGGGGAGCTGTGACCCAACCCAGCTCTCCGGGCCAGGGTCCCCCAACAGGGCAGAGACGTGTCCAGCCAATTGGTCTCACTTCGCCGAGCGCAAACACAACGGACACATCAAGTGTCCTACCGCACAGGAACAGAAAAGGCACTGATGCAGAAAAGGCGAGGGGGCGCTCTGACCACCCACCCTCCTGTTGTTCCCCCTGCAGAGCCATGGACTGGTCCCGTGCCCCATGTGTGCCGAAAAGAAGCAGGGCCTCCCGGGTCGGCCTCCCCCGCCGCCCCCCACCCCAAACACTCACCAGCAGTCTGGGGAAGTTGCAGATACATCTCAGCAGCCGGGAGATAGTGCCCAGGGCCCGGGTCTGTTCGTGCACTTTGTCCGACAGCAGCAGCCAAGGCAGGATGATCTGCAACGGCGGCAGACAGACCCCGTCGTCAGCAGCTTCCATGGCAGCACTGCCCCCTTCCTTTTCTGGTCTCCACATCCCCGACCAACCGCCAGAGAGACAAACAGGAGGGAGCTGCGGCAGGCGCCAGAGTGCACAGCCCCGAGTGCCTGGCCCCACAAGGGTGCGTTAGACAGGCCCTGGCACTTCACCTACTACCTTCTGCAGGCAGGTTTAAAGACGGCATTGCCCTGTAGAGCCAGAACTGCAAAGCAGAGGCAAGGAGCGATGGGTAGGGTGGGGAGTTGGGGTTCTCTTGGCAGCGTGTCTGCACAGACCCTTGCCTGCTAGGCCGGGGCAGGGGTAAAGAGGTCTCTGAAGGATGAGATTCAGGGCCATTACTTTCTGGAGATTAATAACAATAGTCATATAAGCAAGTACTCTGCATATAAGTACTCATTTTATCCTCACAACAATTCTCTGAGATAGGTGTTCTTATTGCTGCACTAGGTTGAGATCCCAGCAAGTGGGAGAGGCCTGTGTCCGGCCTGGGACAAACCTTTGGAAAAGTGTGCCCCATGTCATAGCCACATGGAACAGTGCCCTTCTGGGCAGCCTTTCTCCCAGGGCATTAAACCCCATCATGGACAGTCATGTGCCAAAAAAGAAAACTGAACTACCATCCATACCTGACATCCAGTACAAAAAGTAATTCAGAATGCTCTGCTTAAACACGAATAACCAATGAATAGGCCAGGCGCCGTGGCTCACACCTGTAATCCTAGCACTCTGAGAGGCCGAGGCGGGCGGATCGCTCAAGGTCAGGAGTTCAAGACCAGCCTGAGCAAGAGAGGTGCCCCCGTCTCTACTAAAAATAGAAAGAAATTAATTGGCTAACCAAAAATATATAGAAAAAATTAGCCGGGCATGGTGGCGCATGCCTGTAGTCCCAGCTAACTCGGGGAGGCCTGAGCAGAAGGATTCGCTTGAGCCAGGGGTTTGAGGTTGCCTGTGAGCAAAGGCTGACGCCACAGCACTCTAGCCTGGGCAACAGAGTGAGACTCTGCCTTCAAAAAAAAAAAAAAAATTAACACGGGGGTTTAGCTTCCCCGACTTCCCCAGCCACTCACCTCCAGGAAGTTCTGCAGGATGAGCATGCTGGGGCTCATGTCGTCCATCACAAGAACTTGTAACAAGTCATCTAAGGCCTGCACCGTCTGACAAGCGAGGAGACGTGGAGCGTGCAGGAGGACAGATGGCCACAGTGTCAGCTTGCCGTGTCCCCCGGCTGTGAGCCCCCTCCGCAGCAGGAAGGAGGTGGGGGCCAGCCCAGTTCAGCCCACCCCCCAGGTGTACCCCATCTCATGGCCGCCACACTCCAGTCTTCCCTGGTGATGGCCTTTCTTGGCCTCGCTGAAGACTGGACCACATCTAGCCCCAATTGTAGGACAAATTGTAAAACGTAGGCATTTGGGCAGTTCTCCCCAACAGAGCCTGCCCCGAGGGGACACTCGCCCTTAAAGAACCATTCTGGGCTGGACACAGTGGCTCACGCCTGTAATCCTAGCACTCTGGGAGGCCAGGGTGGGTGGATCGCTCAAGGTCAGGAGTTCAAAACCAGCCTGAGCAAGAGTGAGACCCCGTCTCTACTATAAATAGAAAGAAATTAATTGACTAACTAAAAATATTTATAGAAAAGACAAGCTGGGCATGGTGATGCATGCCTGTAGTCCCAGCTACTTGGGAGGCTGAGGCAGGAGGATCGCTTGAGCCCAGGAGTTGGAGGTTGCTGTGAGCTAGGCTGATGCCATGGCACTCACTTTAGCCTGGGCAATAGAGTGAGACTCTGTGTCAAAAAAAAAGAAAAAAAAAAAGGAGAGAGAGGCCACAGCATCACAGCAGTGGGCTGGAGTCCCGGACCTGCTGGTGGCTGGGGCATCAGATACCACGCGTACTCCAGGGCCTCGTGTGCACCTGACTCGACGCAGGGCCTCAGTGAACGGTGCTCATTGCTCTCGTTACTCAGGGGGTCCCCACAGCCCAGCCCGCGGCGCCCGCGCTCCTGCTGCTTACTTCTCTGGAGCACGAGGACTTTGAACAAGTAATGCAGAGCCTCCGACGCCCCCACGCTGATCTCGTGGTTGGAGTTCATGCAGAAGAGGCCAAAGATACCCATCAGCCTCCCGCTCATCGAGAATTCCGCCATGTGCTGCCAGGAGGAGGGAACTGGTCACCTCTCCGCCGTCCCTCTCCCACCTGCCCGAGTGTCCCGTCACAGGGCATCCGCCTGTCTGCGTCCCCTCACCCCACCAGCTCCACGCTCTGTCCCGGCCGAGAGAAGCCCTCCGCATCGGCACCCAGGGAGACGGGGCCGCCAGATCCCCGAAACACGCAAGCCAGCGGGAAGCTGTGACCCAACCCAGCTCTGCGGGCCAGGGTCCCCCAACAGGGCAGAGACGTGTCCAGCCAATTGGTCTCACTTCGCCGAGCGCAAACACAACGGACACGTCAAGTGTCCTACCGCACAGGAACAGAAAAGGCACTGATGCAGAAAAGGCGAGGGGGCGCTCTGACCACCCACCCTCCTGTTGTTCCCCCTGCAGAGCCACGGACTGGTCCCGTGCCCCATGTGTGCCGAAAAGAAGCAGGGCCTCCCGGGTCGGCCTCCCCCGCCGCCCCCCACCCCAAACACTCACCAGCAGTCTGGGGAAGTTGCAGATACATCTCAGCAGCCGGGAGATAGTGCCCAGGGCCCGGGTCTGTTCGTGCACTTTGTCCGACAGCAGCAGCCAAGGCAGGATGATCTGCAACGGCGGCAGACAGACCCCGTCGTCAGCAGCTTCCATGGCAGCACTGCCCCCTTCCTTTTCTGGTCTCCACATCCCCGACCAACCGCCAGAGAGACAAACAGGAGGGAGCTGCGGCAGGCGCCAGAGTGCACAGCCCCGAGTGCCTGGCCCCACAAGGGTGCGTTAGACAGGCCCTGGCACTTCACCTACTACCTTCTGCAGGCAGGTTTAAAGACGGCATTGCCCTGTAGAGCCAGAACTGCAAAGCAGAGGCAAGGAGCGATGGGTAGGGTGGGGAGTTGGGGTTCTCTTGGCAGCGTGTCTGCACAGACCCTTGCCTGCTAGGCCGGGGCAGGGGTAAAGAGGTCTCTGAAGGATGAGATTCAGGGCCATTACTTTCTGGAGATTAATAACAATAGTCATATAAGCAAGTACTCTGCATATAAGTACTCATTTTATCCTCACAACAATTCTCTGAGATAGGTGTTCTTATTGCTGCACTAGGTTGAGATCCCAGCAAGTGGGAGAGGCCTGTGTCCGGCCTGGGACAAACCTTTGGAAAAGTGTGCCCCATGTCATAGCCACATGGAACAGTGCCCTTCTGGGCAGCCTTTCTCCCAGGGCATTAAACCCCATCATGGACAGTCATGTGCCAAAAAAGAAAACTGAACTACCATCCATACCTGACATCCAGTACAAAAAGTAATTCAGAATGCTCTGCTTAAACACGAATAACCAATGAATAGGCCAGGCGCCGTGGCTCACACCTGTAATCCTAGCACTCTGAGAGGCCGAGGCGGGCGGATCGCTCAAGGTCAGGAGTTCAAGACCAGCCTGAGCAAGAGAGGTGCCCCCGTCTCTACTAAAAATAGAAAGAAATTAATTGGCTAACCAAAAATATATAGAGAAAATTAGCCGGGCATGGTGGTGCATGCCTGTAGTCCCAGCTACTTGGGAGGCTGAGGCAAGAGGATCTCTTGAGCCCAGGAGTTTGAGGTTGCTGTGAGCCAGGCTGACGCCACGGCACTCTAGTCGGGGCAACAGAGTGAGACTCTGTCTCAAAAAAAAAAGAACCATTCTGTCAGATTCAGGAAACTTCTATTGTTAAAACTACAAGTGCTTGGGAAGACGTGGCCGTCTACTGGACGGTTACCTGTGGAATCTGTGGGTTTTATTGTCAGACAGTCTCCTGCTGAGACGGAGGCGGTCATGAGCCTCCGTGGGCAGGGACGTGGGCACTGTGGCGGCGGCCCCTCCCTGAAGACAGGCGACGGGCGACAAGAGAGCCGAGTGCCTCTGAGCGTCAGGTGGGCCATGGGGCCTCGGGCTCAGGCGGCCCAGGGAGCCACGAGGACATGAGGTGACTGCAAAGCCAGAGGCGGGGCTCACCTGGAGGTAGAGACTGGCGCTCTCCTTCTGGTCCAGCCTGGGCAAGATGGGCGGCAGCGAGAACGTGCTGAAGATGCAGGTGTTCACCAGGTCCAGCTTCTCCGATAAGTAGAACTGGGGTTCCACCTGGCTGGGGGGAGAGGTGGGCGTGGCAAAGGGCTTTGGGCGTCCCTGCTGGAGGCTGGGTTGTGTTTCTGGGACTCTCTGAGCGCAGGAAACAGTGGGGACCTGAGCCCCTGAATGCTTTCCAGCGGCCTCTCCGCCGGAAGGCCGCCCCAGCCGGGCGTCCCAACAGGCCTCTGGCAGTAAAACCGGAGGACACCCCTCCACCCCGGGACGCAGGCAGCTAAAGTGGCAGCCACAGGCCCAAAGCCAAGTCCCCGGACCTTGCCCTTCCTCCCGACCCGAACGCGCTCTCGGCACCAGAGACCCAGGGGCTCCTGGGGGTGGCGGTGGGGGTGGGGGTGGGGGTGGGGGCAGCGGAAGGAACCTCAGGGCCACGATGCAGAGCATGGCCTGCTGACGCACGCTGCTCGTCAAAGCCTCGGTGGGTTCCTGGAGGATGAATTTCTAGAAGGCCCGGGGAGAAACAGGAATCCCCCTCAGAGAGAAACGCCTGCCCAAGGGTCTGGAGCTCGCCATCCCCAGCCCTGGGTGGCCAACTCCCAGAAGAGCCCGGGTCCTGCTCACCTCGATTTTCTTGGCCAGGACGGTTTTGGAGCAGTACTCGCTCATGTCGCCGTCTGCCTGGGCGTGCACGGCGACACTCAGGGTGTCCACAGCCCTCAGGAACTGCAGCTTGGTGGCCTCAGTCTAGGACACAACACACGGGCGCCTGCCCGTGAGCTCAGGGGGCACCCGAGCCCGCACCCCGCACCCAGCCCAGACTGGGATCGGCTGGCTGAGGGTGGATGGCTCGCTTGGTTTTGCAGCACAGGGTCCTCATGCCTGGGACTGGTGCTGAGCTCAGCTGCCGCGGCAGTGCTTTGGGGACAGGGGTGCTGAGGGTCTATGAGGAAGAGCCTTCATGTAGGACGGGAGCTGCAAGGCCTGTCTACTCCAGACACCCTGTCCAGTGGCCCCGCCACCCCAGATTTCCCCAGGCCAGGGGGCAGCAACAGGCCAAATTTCTGGTGGCTTCTAAGCTAGGGCTGGCTCTCAAAACCCAAAGAACCATGAGCCCTCTCTCTTTTTTTTTTTTTTTTTTTTTAGACAGACTCTCACTTTGTTGCCCAGGCTAGAGTGAGTGCCTTGGCGTCAGCCTCACTCACAGCAGCCTCAAACTCCTGGGCTCAAGCAATCCTCCTGCCTCAGCCTCCCGAGTAACTGGGACTACAGGCATGCGCCACCATGCCTGCCTCATTTTTTCTGTATATTTTTAGTTGGCCAATTAATTTCTTTCTATTTTTAGTAGAGACAGGGTCTGACTCTTGCTCAGGATGGTCTCGAACTCCTGACCTTGAGCAATCCACCCACCTCGGCCTCCCAGAGTGCTAGAATTACAGGCGTGAGCCACCGCGCCCAGCCTGAGCCCTCTCTTTTCCTCTCTCTTTCCTCCTCAGGTCTCAAAAGGGTCTGGAGAATTTCCTTACCATATATTCTTCTTCTAGAAATTTCATAATGAACCAGTAGGCTTCTTTTTCTGATTGGCGCAATACTGAAAAGGGGCGCAGTTGGGAAGAGTTTAGCTTATTCTACCAGATGGAAGAGGAAGGCAGAGCCATCCTCCCCTCTCCTCCACCAAGGAGGCTCAGAAGCCACCAGGGTGTGGCGTGGGTCCCAAGAGCCAGCCCATGCAGGTGATGGCCTGGCATGGACCTCAGAAGCCAGAGCGAAAAGGCCATCACTTGGGGACATAGTCAAGAGACATTCTGCGGCAGGCATGGCCAGGGATAGAAGAACCACTGGGAAGACAGAGACCTTTAAATCACTCCTAGAAGCCACAAAATCTTGGGGCTGTGCTAGGCTGCCTTCGAAGTTCCTGGTTGTGGTGGGCTTGAATCCTTAAGTCAGCCTGGGAACCTCGCTTGCCGGCTGGGCTGGCGTGGCTCTCAGGGTGCCCCCTGAGCAGGGCCTGGGTGTGGACACAGAGGCTGGAGGCCACGGCCAGGAATAGAGTGGAGTCAGGAGGAAGTGAAGCAAGAGAATGAGACGGTGAGAGCACTGGGCACCAAGGAGACACGGGCCACAGGTCCCGAGTCTCCCAAGTGCTGGACAGGTGCAAGCCACCACACCTGGCCTACCCTTACGTACCCTTCTAAGAGAATTGCTTTTTCATTTGCCCATATAGGTTTGTATATATACATACACAGAGGTCAAAAAAGAAAAAAATCTCATTGACTGAATTTGAGTGGGCCTGAAGGAGATGAGGAGAAGCCATGCATGTATCTGACGAAAGAGCAGTCTAAGCCAAGGGAGCAGCACATGCAAAGGCCCTGGGGCAGGATCTTGCCTGGTGTGCTTAAGGAACAGCAGCAGGGAAGTCTGGGTGCCTAGAGTGGGAGGAGCAGGGGAAGAGTGGGCGGAGAAGAAAGTGGAGCAGGATGGGACAGATCTCGAGGGCGCTGCAGTTTACTGTAAGGCCTTTGGCCTTGGGGATGGGAGCCCTAGGCCAGTTTTGATTCAAAGTGGTCTGACTTAGTTCAACAATATCCCTCTGGCTGTTCGGCTGAGAGTAGATCAGGAGTGGAAGCGGAGAGTGACATGGGGTGTGGGCAGAAGCAAGGAGACCAGCTGGGAGACCGTGACAACAATCCAGAGGAGACTCGACGGAGGCTCACACCAGGGAAGGGGGTTAGGAGGGAGTGGTCAGATTCCGTATCTACTTAGAAGGCAGAGCCAACGGAAGGAGCTGGTGGACTAGACGTGAGCAAGACAGACAGAAGTCAGGCTTTTTGGCCCGAGACACTGGAAGGACTGAGCTGCCATTAATTGGTATGAGGGGCGGATTTGGGGGTTGGTGGCAAAGTCAGAAGTTGCATCTGGAATATGTTGATTTCGAGACGGCCGCTAGGCATCCCAGTGGAGGCGCGACAGGCGGTCGGATGTGAGAGCCTGAGCTCAGGGAGAGCAGGTCTGGCTGCACAGAGCGATTTGGGAGTTGCCGGCAGGCAGGTGGTGGGCAAAGACCTGCTGTCCTGAACAGTGGTCAGCCAGGCGGGGTGTCCCTCCATGTCTCGGACACTGTCCTGTTCCCGGCCCGGCCCCAGGCATATCCGGGAGGCAGGCCTGGCCAGGGACAGGCATGCGGAGACTAGGAAGGGACGGTCAGAGGCGGGCAGACTCGTGCCCGCCCCGGGACACTTCAAGCAAGAGGCGGGCAGTCTCCACACTTGCAAGGCACTGCCGTCAGTTGAGAGAAAGAACCAACCGCTCACCCGCTAAGTTTGGCTTCGAAAAGACATGGTACAACGATGACGGCTCAAAGGTCACTCTCTTTGGTTTCTGCTTGCCAGGTTGTGGATTCATCTGCACCCCCGAGGCAGCGGCCGGCAGCCTGCGAGGAGGAGAACGGTCCTTCCTGGGCTGCAGGAGGCAGGCCCTGGCCATTCTCGAGAAAAGGAATGGGCTGAGCAGGGCCAGTGCCAGGCCACCGCCAGCTTCCCCTCTCCTCCCCTGGGGGAGACGTGGGACTCTCTGAAGCGCCCCGATCCATCCTGACTCCCCTGGGGTCTTCCATCCGGGGATCCCCCTGCATGGACACCGCAGGCGGGCTGCCGGGTCATAGCGTCCCTCCGCTGCCCGGCCAAATTGCCTCTGAAAACTTTGCTGCTAAAGTCCTGAAGCACCCTCTTCCCTGAGGCTTCCGTCCCACTCCGTAACCCATAACCCCACTTCTGCCCTACGGCAGGGGGGCTCGGTGCCCCCCCCACGTTTGCCTCCCCTAGACACGGCCCAGGGACACCTGCGCGTGGACCAGGTAGAAACTGCGGCCAGACCAGGTTCTCTCGCCGCCCTGCACTTTGGGACCCCAAACCGGTGCGCCCTGTTGCCCACTGCTCTTAGGAGAGCCTTCCGTGCACCCCACCTTCTCTTCCTGCACCCTCCTCCTCTCAGCTGGTCTGTCCGCCCCAGGGCTGGGAGCCGCCTCCTCAGCCAGGTGATCCCGGGGACTCACCTGTACCTAGTCAGCCTTTCCCCGGGCCCAGCTCATCCCAACCGTCTAAAATACGAAGTCAAGGGCCCCGTTCCCCGCAAGCCAAAGTGAGGCCAAGGTGTCCAGGTCTGAGGTCAGGACACCCACAACTTCTCCAGAGCCCTGGACCCGTCTGCCCTCCTAGTGGAGCCCCCCCAGACCCAGGCGGGCCAGGCCCCTGAAGCCAGAGTCCCCCGGTCCCCAGGGCAGAGCCGGGGTCTCCCCTTCCGAGCCACCTGCCTGGGCCCTTCATGGCCCACCCTGCCCGGTCCATGGCTGTGGAGGACGGGCGGGCGAGCAGGCGGGCAGGGTCCCCTTACCTGGCACTCGGGCACCTCAGACCCCGGGCACAGGCCTCTCCCCGGCACTGCGGCTCCAGGGGGCGCCGCGCTCCTGGGCCCTGGAGCGGCCCCTGCAGGGCAGGCCCGGAAGTGGTCCAAGTCGGAGGTGCCCCCCCACCCCACCCCTGTGCCTCTGCGGGGGCAGGCGGCACTCTCGCCCCTCCCTCACCACCCCAAGGCAGGGCCCAGGGTCCCAGCCACGGGGGAGGGGCCGTTTCTCCTGGGCTCGCTCTGGGCGGTCAGGAGCTCCAGGCCTGGGGGGGCTGGAGGCGCTTAGCCACACCCCACGCCCCTCTCTGCCCACCGCCTCGCCTGGCCCAGGCCCGTCTTTCCCGGGGAAGCCCAGCGCCTGGGGCCCAGGCAGAGACCTGGAGGAGCTTTGACAGGGGCAGTGCTTGCTTCCATCCCGCCTGGTCCCCCACCACCCCCCACCCAGCCCACTGGCTCCCCGGGGACCTGGCCAGACCAGCCGGAGCGGCCAGGCACAGACTCTGCTCAGAAAACTTGGCGCCAAGAAACCCTTCGGCTTCAGTTCAGCCAATCGCAAAGCACAGACTTTATTGCAGTATCTTTCATGAACACCCACAGTCCCAGCCCCGCAGCCTGAGGGCGCAGCCGCCACTTTGCAGCTGCTCTGGGCGTTACATAGGACCAATAAGTTAATACAAAGCACGCTCAGGTGTGGGGGAGGGCCGGCGCTCAGCCCGACAAGTTCTGGGCTGCGGGAAGGACACAGGGAAAGGGGCCTGGAGACAAACTGCAAGAACAGCATCCGAAGTCGGGCATTCAAATGTAATGGGGGGGCAGAGTGGGCCCAAAAGGTGGTGACTGGCGCAGGATGTGGTAAGAACTCAATGAGAGAAATGCCAGGTGTGACCCCCCCGGTCTCCCCTCTCCTCCCCCAGAGTCCTCTGACGGGCCACCCTGGCTCCTGCCCTGGTCCCCTTGTGCAATCGGCCACTTTCTCTCTCCAGCAGGGAGAAGAAACGTGCCCCCTTTGGGCCGGGCGTCAACGTTCTCGGAGCCGTCTGCCACACTCAGGCTCTGCGCCGGTTCAGGCGCTTGGATGGGAGCGAATTCCGCACAGAACTCAGCTGTCCCGACCCCTCCTAGCCTCTGCCCAGTTGCTTTCTCCCTGAAGCAGGACCCCGACCCGGGCATCTGTCCTGCAAGCAAAGACGGCTCTAGGACGAGAGCCTGGGGCCCGTCGGGCGGTCCCAGCCAGGCGGCCTCCAGACTTGCCCTTGTCCCGCCTCGCAGACAGTTCGTTAATGCCCTTGAGGAAGGTCCAGCAGATCGGGAGTGACTATGCCCACGTTTCTATAAATAAGGGCGTTCTCTGAGCAGAAGCATAGTTTCGAGGGACGTAGGAACAGTGACCTCCTGCCTCCCTCCCCTCAGAAAATGCCACAAAAGTGGTGCCTTTCCAGAAATACTTGTAAGGCGTTGGTGTTTAGGACTACAAAGAAAAGATGTTGGTGGTGGGACTATGAGCCCTTGAAACGCCCAGTGGTGGCTGTCAAGGGGGAGCTGCTGTGCCCAACCAGCGCAGGCCGGCCGGACCCCTGTTCCTCCATCCGGGGAAGCCCCTGACTCAAGGCTCGGAGGTCTGGGGGCTGCAGGGCAGAGGGAGGGGCAGTGGCTGGACCCCTGAAGGGGATCTCTGGGGTCCGGGAAGACAGCGGTCCACGAGGACACGGTGGACTCTGTCCCCGCGCTGGGTGCGTGCATCACAGAGCACATTACACAGGGGAGGAGATTCTCCCGTGGCCCAGGCTGCGGTTCCCAGAGACCTGGGAATGGGAGGGCAGTTTCGTGCACGAGTGTGCGCCACACCAGCACCCGGCAACAGCGGGACGGGACGAGAGCGCCCGCTTTCCAGGGAAGGCCGTTCTTGGGGGAAGTTCTGCAGAATCCCGAGGTGGCGCTCCCTCCCTGCTCCGAGCACCCCCTGCCCCGAGTCTCGCACACAGCGACAGATAGATGCCGTCTGTCAGACGGATAAGGCCTTTCGTCCAGGGGTCCAGAGTCCACCGGGTGGTAACTCATGATCATATTACAGGGATCTTGAGGACAAGTGACAAATATTAATATAAATCCTCAGGTCAGGGCTTCTGAAAAAGACTTGTGTAAAAAAAAAAAGATAAAAGGTCTCAGCTCCAGGTCATCGGCCTGCGATGGGTGGGAGCCGAGGAAGGCACTCTCGGGGGCGGGGGCAGGGGGGTCTCAGCCCAGCCCCCGCTATGAAAGTCTTTCCTGGGGAAGGGGCCGAGGCATCGGGGCATTGGTGCCCCTGGCCTGGGTTACACCTGGCTGATGATCTCTCCGTTCTCGGGTACGAAGACTTGCACAGGGGCCCCCTCGGGCGATCTCCGGAGCACGCACACCGCGGGCACCTGCCAGGGTCGGGAGGAAAGGAGAGGTGGGTGAGCGGACCAGGTAGAAGTCTCGGGCAGCAAGCCCAGTCGCACCAGCCTTATCCCTGAGGGACACTGGGGGGGCAGCAGCACAGCCCTGGCACTCGGCCTCTGCCCCCTCCCCCGGAAGTTCTCTGTCCCCCAGCGACCACCCCTCATCCATTTTCCACTCCCGCTTCCTCTGGGGTGTGACGGGCACCCTGACCTCCTCCTCCCCAGCTTCTCCTGGGCTCACTGCTCACCGCCCTCCCTTTCTGGCACGCCAGGATGGGCTGGGCCTGGCCAAGGACAGGTCCAAGCCCGCAGGGAGGGGGAGCACGTCAGCTGGAGGGTGCGGCCTGGGACCAGGGCCAGGGTGCTGCCGGCCAGGATGCCAGCTGCAGCCCAGAGAGCTGCAGGGGGGGGGGGGGGGGCGCAGCTGAAAGGGGTTGTGGGGGAGGGCGGCCCCTGGCTGGGGTCAAAGGGCGAGCGGAGGGGCGCAGCTGGGCCTGCTCGGAATCTGGGGTCTCAAAGCGGCAGCTTGTTAGTAACTTCTGCAGCACACCCCCTGCGGAGCCCTCCGTACCAGGGAGAGAGAATAAAGAAAGGATTCATGTGTTGGCCCCACTTCCAGAATGAAGAAACTGGGTCCAAAGAAACCAAATCTGCCCTCCGCCCCCACCTGGTGTCAAGGGGCTCTATCCTATATACTATCTATCACTTATATACTACCTACCACCTACATACTACCTACCACCTATATACTACCTACCACCTATACAGTACCTACCACCTATACACTACCCACCACCTATACACTACCACCTATACACTACCCACCACCTATACACTACCCACCACCTATACACTACCCACCACCTATACACTACCCACCCATCCTATAAAACGAAACCTACCCACCACCTATACACTGCCCACCACCTATACACTGCCCACCACCTATACACTGCCCACCACCTATACACTGCCCACCACCTATACACTACCTACCACCAGCCTGGCTCCTGGCCTCTGCGGGCCCCTGGCGGTAACGACATCACTTATCTGGTGCCTACTAGGCGTCCCTCTGATCATTCCAGCCTCTTAGCAGCCGAGCGCGAGCACCTCACTCCTTCCATTTTACAGAGGGGAAAAGAGCAGACTCCAGGGGCTATGTAACTTGCCCAGCCGCAGAGCCTGTAAGTGGCGGGACTGGGATCGGAACCTGGCAGTCCAGCTGGGCGTCCCTGCTCTTAGCTATGAGGCCCCCCCACATCTCAGCTGGGTGCCGCGCAGGGGTGACGGGGAGGAAGCGGATAGACCCGCAATCACAGGTTCCGGCTTCTGCAAACGCATTTCCAGCCTCTGCGCCCGTCCTGGGCCCTCGAGTCGGGAGATTAGTGGGGGCGGGGGGCGTAATTTGGATTGCACTTTCGATTGGGAAGAGTTGTATCTGCTTTGTGAATCGTCTGCAGAGCCACTGGGGGAAATAAAGTCCCAGCCGTCTGCAAGGGTCGCCCCCACCAGCGCGTGCGCTCTTGCGCTGGGCATAGAAGGCGAAGTCAGGACGCCTCCCGAAGCCAAGAGAGAATGACTTGGGGGCCTGTTCGTCCTAGCTGGGGATTTCCTGGCCACCAGGCTGCTGGTTTGATGCCTTTCTCCACTTGCACCTGCTATTAAATATAATTGCAGCCCTTACACCCCTGCTGCCTGGCCCCGGGGTCCCTCCAGCGCGGCCGCACCTGTGTCCGGGGCCCCAGCGCTCGCCCGAAGCCGTCTCTCCCGGGGGGCAGGCTCCGCACGCGGAAGGCGCCCTGGCGGTCCAGCGAGTGCGGGCGCGCGCTCCGGAGGCGCGCCCGCTCGTGCCACCACTTGAGCTCCTCGGAGACGGCGGCCTTGCTGAGCGCGCGGCCGGCGGGGCTGTCCTTCAGCGAGGGCGTGCGCACCACGCGGCTGTGCGAGGGCACCAGGCGCTGGTAGCGCAGCGCGCCGCCCTCCTCCGCGAAGGCCGCGCCCGCGCGGCACAGCTCCCACTCGCCCGGCGGCAGGTGGCCCTCGGCCAGCACCACGTAGCGCCCCGCCGGGAAGTAGCCCGTGGGCAGCAGCAGCTTGGGGTAGTGGGCGGCCAGCTCCCTGCCGCCCGGGCCCCAGGCCCCGCGGTGGTGGCGAGGGGCCTCGGGTGGACACAGCGGCCGCAGGAAGATGTCAGGGCTGCTGCTGCCCGGCGAGGTGGGGTGCGAGATGCTGGAGACGTCCGAGCCGCTGTCCTCCGAGCACGAGTGGCAGGCGGCCGCGGGCAGCGGGGGCTTGGTCGCGGGGAAGCAGGAGTCCGGCACGGTCACCGTGTAGTGGGTGGGGCGGCGGCGGGGAAAGGCGCTGCGGCCGCGGCCCTCGGGACCCGCCCGGAAGGACTCCATCCTGCAGGGAGAGAGAGGGACCGAGTGTGGGGGATGGAGTCCTAAACAGGCGAGGCAGGCGCCCCACCGCAGGGCCCAGGCGTGGCACCCACGCAGGGTCTTAGGCCAAACCTCGCAAAGAAAGCATCCTCCCTTCCCCCCACCCCTGCTGGTCTGGGGATGTGGGTACCCCATATTCCCTCCCTGCTGCGAACGCCTTCCTGCTTCATTCATAGCTGGTAGTTCCTGTAAGCTGTGCTACATCAGTGCCACGCATTTGCAGCAGGTTTAGGCACGCTACGCCCAGTGGCATTTCCTCTGCAGAACCCACTCGGGCACACACCGTGGGAGCTGCCTGGTGAAAGCTGTCCCGTGGCACAGGGCACTCGCGCAGCCCGCAACCAGCCGGGCTGAAATCCAGCCCTCGCTCTGCTCCTACCCCCAGGTACGGGGCTGTGTCTGCCTTTTTCTAATTTGTACAAACACGTTTATAAAATGACCCTGGTAGCATGTAAAATACAAAATTCATTGCTTTTCTTGAGCACAGTCGCCCCAAGCTGCACGCAGCCCAGCAAGGCTCGATCCGCAAATTTAAGCTGACAGAAGAATCCGGCAACGCTCTGGTGGTGCCCCAGACCCTGTGAGGTGTGGCCACAATATTACCCTGTCATAACTCAGCCACTGAAACCACTGCCAAGTAGCAGGTGACCAGGGAAGGATCATATAGTCGATCCTCATCGTTTGCAGATTCAGTATTTGTGAATGTGCCCGACTTGCTAAAATTTATCTGTGATTTCCAAATCAGTATACACCGTGGTTTCAGGGTCATTCTAGACCAGTCACAGCACAACAACAAAAAAAATTGAGCCGCTATAAGCTCGCATTCCCAGCTAAGGTTAGACGAGGCCGTGCTCTGCCTTCTCGCTTCAGCTTTCACCTTATAAATAAGTGTTCTCCTTCTGGTGCATTTATTTAGTGTGTTTTGGCATTATTTTGCTTTTGGTTGGTGATTTTGCTGTGTGCAATAGCCCCAGACTCAGTGCTGAGGGGCTGTCTGGTGTTTCTAGCAGGGAACGGCGGGAAAGCACCGTGGGGAGAAAGATGCCGCTAGATGAACCTCACCCAGGCCCGGCGCCACTGGCTTCGAGTTTAATGTCAACGAATCAACAGTGTGTATTAAACAAGGTGTCTCCAAACAGAAGCTCGTATAAAACGAGGTTATTTGTTGATCAGTTGAAGAAAATGTTGAGGCCGGGCGCGGTGGCTCACGCCTGTCATCCTAGCACTCTGGGAGGCCCAGGCGGGAGGATCGCTCAAGCTCAGGAGTTCGAGACCACCCTGAGCAAGAGCGAGACCCCCATCTCTACCAAAAACTAGAAAGAAATTCATTGGCCAACTAAAAATATACAGGAAAAATTAGCCGGGCGTGGTGGCGCATGCCTGTAGTCCCAGCTACTCCGGAGGCTGAGGCAGGAGGATCACTTGGGCCCCGGGGGTGGGGGTGGGGGTGGAGGTTGCTGTGAGCTAGGCTGACGCCACGGCACTCTAGCCCGGGCAACAGAGCGAGACTCTGTCTCGAAAAACCAAACACACACAAAAAAGACAATTTTGTGACCAAAGGCTTCCAGGAGCCTAACCTTGTATTTCCCCTGGGGGCAAAGGTTAAGTATTTGCTAATCCAGTGCTCGTGATTTTATAGAACACAACTACCACGGATAATGAGAACTGACTATATGTCAATTGAAAAAGTGAAGTGCCTACTGTGAGTGACCAAGAATAATCTATTAGCACAAGAAAACTTGGAAAAGGAAGAAAACTTGAATCAAGTCGCGCACAAAGACAAATATGGAAGCTTTGGAAGAGAACAACTTGCTTCACGGATAGCCTTTGGCTTTGCGGACTGTGGCACAAGCTCTTTCAAGAGGCACCCCAAGAAGGGCTGCTAAGAGGAGCCGAGGCACTAGCCATGTGCCACCTAAGGGTGTCCCCCCTACCTGCATGCAAGAAGCTACCAACGTCCAGCAATAAGCGCTGGATGGGGGAGGTCCCCCCTGCATCTCGGGGTGGGGGGGTTGTCTCTTACCTCAGAGACTGTGACTGGCCCCTCCTGCCCTGCATCTCGGGGGTGGCCGGGGCGCTGGTGCGGCCCTGCCGCTGTCCGGGAGCCCCTCGGACGGGGACCATCAGGTAGGACATGGGCTCCAGCAGCCACGGGCTGGAGGGGCTGGGCCCATCCTGCGGTGTGGTGGCGGGGCTGCTGCAGACGGATTGGGGACCGGTCAGGGGCAGGAATGCCTCCATTCAGGGGCTCAGGAAGGGCAGGAGGGTGGGACTCCAGTGGAAGGGGGCCCCAAAGTTAGTGGTGTAAACCGCCAGCATCCTCGGAGAGCTGCCAGAGCTCACACACCTTTCCCTCTCCATCCGCCCAGCCTGCCGCCACCCCGGCATGCCTCCCACCTGCTCCCAGCCGTCCCTTCCTCCCTCTGCCCCCCACTGACCTGGACTCGCTGCAGGGCTCGGAAGACTTCTGGGGCTTCTCGTAGGGGTGGTCCAGGCTGGTCTCCTTCCAGGGGCTGTTCTGGATTGGGGCTCGCTCCAGGCCCCCCGTCTCAGGCCCTGCTGGCTGCAGCCCCTCTAGGCTTTGGGGTGGGAGAGGCCGGGAAGGTGAAGCTGGGGACCCTGGGGGAGGTTTTGGCACCTGGGATTCCTCTGCAGGGGTGAAAGAAACTCGATAAGGACAGAGGCTGGGGGAACCGGCCCAGCAAGAACCTCCGTAAACCGCAGCCGAGTCCTGCTCTCCCTGCTCTCCCTGCCGTGGCTGGCTGGTCCAGCTGCTCCAGCCCCAGCTCCAGCCCCGGATGCTCCATGTCTTCTCCTCCTCTGGGACTGACTCCTTCCCTCACAGCCCTCCTTTATCCCTTCCTCCTTCGAGAAGCCTCCCCAGATTGGCTCCCGCTGCCATGTCCACACGGGCCTTCTGCTCAACTGTTGCTCTTGTTGCTGCCAAGCCCGAGGGCCCTATTTCCTTACTGGCCCGGGCACTCCCCTGGGCAGAACTGCACCGCCTTCTTGGTCCACCTTGACCCTGGCATCCCCAGGGTTTGTAAACACAGCCCTTAATCTACAGACTCGTGTTCCCTCCCCCAGTGTGCCCTCTTTTCTAAAAGGACAATAATTGTGGGCAGATTAATCTTTAGCTCTGACCAGAGCATCTTGAAATGAAGCCCCAGGGTGAAGGAGGTCACCTGGGGTTGACCGGTGCTGTTGGCGATCACCTTTCTCTTCCCCGTCAAAAGGATGAGCTTCCAGAATGAGAGATGGTCGGTCAGCACCCCGCCACCCCCAACTGAGCAGGTGCAGGGGCACGTGGAAACCGACATGAGGTCTCAGCGGCGGCCCTGGGCCTGGCACCCTTGCCCTCCCTGGCTCACTAAAAGCTCCGCTCCCATGGACGTCCTCACCAGCAGGCTCTGCCAAAGCCCCAAGGTCTCCAAGTGGGAGCCCAGCCTTGACGACAGTCCCCAAACTGTCCCTCTCACCTTCCTCCAGGAGGAGCCCATCCGACAGGGAGCTGTCATCGGAGGCACTGAGCTCTGGGAAAGGCAGAGGGGGAGAGGAGAGAAGTGGTGAGATTAACCCGTAGATACGAGTAACCGGCAGCGCTCAGCAGCCCGGGCCAAGCCCTGCCCAAGGACAACGGAAATGTCAGCAGACACCCACTGTGTGCTAACCACTGCAGCCGGTATGAATTTATCACTTGGAAGTTAAGAGAACCCAGAAGTCAGGGGCTAGGAGACAGGAAACTTGATTTTAACCCTGGATGTCATTAGCTTTGCAGCCTTGAACAAACCACTCCAATGCTCTAAACCTCAGTTTCCCTACTTGTCAAAAATTAAAAAGGCAGGGCTTCCTCTGGCCATGGGAAGGGAAAGGCAAGGAGCCACTTGGAAGGGCCGTGGGGTGGAAAGAATTTCACTAGCTTTTCTATGGTCTTCCGACATCACAAATATAACTCAACCCAAGGATCCCAAATCCGAGAACGCCTGCATTTTCAGAGACAAGAGCGGCGTGCGGCAGGGGTCCAAGCGGCGCGACTGTGAGGCCGGTTTCAGTTAGGGTCAGGCCAGCCGGCCCTGGGGATAGCTCTTCACGTGGTGATCACGCCAAGTCCCCTGAAGGAGGTGGGGTGTGGCATCTCTGCCTGGTACAGCACCAGCCGCCACCCAGGACGACTTCCTTGTGCCAGGGAACCTATTTGTGCCACTGCCCTCGAACAAACCTAAGCCTCCAGATATTGCAAATAAGCCCGACGTGGCCTGGGTGGAACTCACAGGGCATTTCCAACTGTGTTCCAGAACAAAGAGGAGGAAAAACTAATAACGGCTGATATTTCTGCGGTGCCAATACTTTTCTAAACACAGCACTTTATATTAATCCATGCCATCCTCATAGCAACCACCTAAGGTAGATCTTATCATCCCCACGTGACAGGTGAGGAAACTGCGTCTCAGAGGAGTTGAGTAACGCAGTTTAGGTCAATCCACCAAAACGCAATTGAGTCAGAATTTACACCTGGACAGTCGAGTCTGTGCTCTTAACCACAACCCTTCCTCGGCCTTCCTGCTAGCTGGCATCTAACGCACAGGTCATCGCCCAGAAAGCTTTTTTTTTTTTGAAGCAAGAGTCTCACTCTGTTGCCCAGGCTAGAGTGAGTGCCGTGGCGTCAGCCTAGCTCACAGCAACCTCCAACTCCTGGGCTCAAGCGATCCTCCTGCCTCAGCCTCCCGAGTAGCTGGGACTACAGACATGCGCCACCATGCCCGGCTAATTTTTTCTACATATATTTTTTATTGGCCAGTTAATTTCTTTCTATATTTTTTTTTTAGTAGAGACAGGGTCTCACTCTTGCTCAGGCTGGTTTCGAACTCCTGAGCTCAAACGATCCTCCCGCCTCGGCCTCCCAGGGTGCTAGGATTACAGGCATAAGCCACCGCGCCCGGCCCAGAAAGTTTTAAGAAAAGTAAATCGTTCCAACCGTCATGACAAATCTTGCAACAGGGTTTGGCAAACCCTGGCCCACAGCCTCAATCCAGTTCCATAGCTGTTTTCACAAGGTCTTCCTGGAACACAGCTCTGGAGTTGTTTATGCAACGTCTGGCTAAAATAGGCCCTACCTGGCCCTTTACAGAAGAGTTTGTCGACCTTTGCTCCACGACTTAAATGAAATAAAGGTTGCACGCAGAGCAGGTCTTGGACTTTGTGGGGCTCACGGCGCCAGGAGCTCGGCCCACTGAGGTTCTGCTAGGCCACGGCCAGCCTTGGGGCTGTTAAGGAGACACCCTCTTACTAAATTCTGGCTCCCTGCCTCTCATCTTTTACACAAACCTGGAGAATAAAGATTTTTTAATTTTTCACGAGCATCAAGTTAAAGAAATTGGGCCGGGTGCGGTGGCTCACGCCTGTAAATCCTAGCACTCTGGGAGGCATAAATGGGGACAGTTTTAGACAAGTAATTCCTGTTTCGTGGCTCCTCTGCCCGGCTGTGTTCTCCCAGAAAGAAGGAAGTAAAGAGGGATTAATAATTAATTAGTAGCTGAAAGGTGTTTTGATTTAAAGAGAGGAAAAAAAAAAAAGCAAACAAACAGGAAAAAAGAAAAACTCAAAGCCAAAACCCCCACGCCCCCTTGGTCTCCGCACAGGGCTATTCAGTTTGGGACAGTAATTATGCAGGGAGGACAGCAGTAGGTGTTGGACTAATTTACTGGGGCGAACTTGGCGAGAGCTGCCCAGCTCCCGCCTCTGCAGTGCAGTCGGCACGGCGTCAGCAACGCCCTTGATAGAATTTCGCCACGGTGGAGAAGTGTTCTGTACTGTGCTGTCGGTACGGAAGCCACTAGCTGCATGTGGCTACGAGCATTTGAATCGTGCCCAGTGTGACTGATGAAAATAGCCGTCAGTGGCCCGTGGCTGCTGTGTCGGACCGCACAGCCTTTGAGCAGCTCCAGTTGTGAGTCTGATCTTGTTCCCTCCCCGCCTGGGTGTCCTGCCGTTGCAGGCTGGGTCGGGACAGGGCTGAGACAGGGAGCACCCCCCAGGAACCCCCGGTGGGCAGATCAGTGTGCCCCACCCCCGGGGCAGAGTGTCTCCAGACTCCCTTCACTGCGGCGCACCTGTTGGCCCGTGGCACACGGATCTGCCTGTTTTTATGAGGATCAGGGTTGAGTGGGAATGGTGTCTTTCTTCCCAGATCACTCAGCCAGACCAAACACACAGCTCTCTCCTGGCTGCACTGCCCTGCATGAGTGGTGTAGTTCCACAATTTCTTTAACTTGTTTTTTTTTTTTTTTTTTTTTTTTTGAGACAGAGCCTTACTCTGTAGCCCAGGTTAGAGTGCCGTGCATCAGCCTAGCTCACAGCAACCTCAATCTCCTGGGCTCAAGCGATCCTCCTGCCTCAGCCTCCCGAGTACCTGGGACTACAGGCATGCACCACCATGCCCGGCTACTTTTTATATATATATATTTTTAGGTGGGAAATTAATTTTTTTCTTTTTTTAGTAGAGACGGGGTCTCCTTCTGCTCAGGCTGGTCTCAAACTCCCTGAGCTCCAAAGATCCTCCGCCTCGGCCTC